TATCGTAGTACTAAAAACTAATATTGTGAAATTTTGTGAGTTTGTTTATTTGTTTGTATGTTTGTTTGTTTGATATCCAATCACGCATTAACTTCTGGTCGGATCGCGTTGAAATTTGGTATGAAGATAGCTCACATTCCCGATTAACATATCAAAGACATATTCTTATCCCAAAAATCATTTCGGGCTCTGCCCCAATGGCTCGCTTTTCACATCGTAAAAATTGCAGAATTGCTGTTTTAGCGAATTTACCAATAAGCTATTATTGTAAACTTATCGGATTTAAAATGCATATCGTATAGGCCTATGATGGAATCAAAACATATTTGGTAACACAACATTTGTTTACAAGATGATTTTTACATTAAAACTGCAAGAAACTTTGTCTTTATATGTGTAAATTAGCTGATCTGAATTGAACACGGTTTTAACTGACTACTGAATTCCCGTACGTAGGACGGGCTAACACCTCGTTCATATTTAAAACGAATTAAAGAATTTTGTCAGCTGTTTCAACTACACAAGTTGGTTCTATGATATTCAATAGCATTAAAGAGGCTACCTCTGTGTCTGGTAAGATTAGAAAACGTTAACAAACACTGTACTTGAATAGACAAGCCCCTCCCCCACATGGGACATCGCTGCTGTAAGCTCCTCCCCCATTTTTTGCCCCTGCTCATTAGGACCTTTGGTCAATCTGTATGTTAGAAAAGACCCTCGAACCATTGGCCAATCTGTACGCGCGCAGGCAATTTAATGTTACTGTTTTCCTAGAAGCGGAGCGGAATGCCATGTTAATTTCAATTCCGCTATCCGCGTTCCTCTCTCCGCTCTCCGCTTTCGCGCCTAGGAAAACCCAGCTTAAGTAGACCCTTCATTCATCGATCAGCTGAAGACAATTTATTGTTGGTTCCGTCCGGCGCTGTCAAGTACGTGTTTTGTTTGCAATTAGTTTCTTGTGTTATTTAGTTATTTAAAATCTAGTTAAACCAAATAATACCCTCGCCACAGCAAACCTGTAGTCTAAGCGAATTTCCATTTACCTGGCTGGATTTCTACTAAAATATTCCCTAAAACGTTTTCTGTGCTAAAAATTATCAGATTTATTTCCTATTTAATTATCATCAATTTTAATGAGTAGGCCTACATTTTACAACAAAAAACACATTTTTACTCTCACTGTTGCAGCAAACCTAAGTACTCGTTAAACTAATTCCATTTGAATAGGGAATGAAAGTGATATAAGGAGACATTTTAGTGTAAATCCAATCAGGCAAATGGAAATTCGCTTAGTCTGCAGGCTAGCTGCAGTGGGGGTATTTTATTCGTATTATTTTAAGGGGTTGTTGAAAATGCATTACTTTTTGGCGAATTCCCCTACAGAGAAGATGGATGGTACCGTCAGAGTCGCCTAGGTAAGACAATGAATGAAGCAACGATGTACTAGTAGTTCAAGTTCGAGTTGTATTATGTATAGCATATCGTTGGGACCAAGCAATGGATGAAGATAGGAAGTTACCTATTCTGTGTTTGCTGGGTAAGACCACATAATAAAAGAGCACAAGAGCTGGGCCATGCATTATAAAAGCGTTCAAACCCCCTATCCGAAACAAAACGAATACATTCAATGCCCTATACCTGTCAAAGATTTTGTTTACCTTAGACAGTTTCTGTATTAGGTTAAAATCCAACAGTCAACTGTTAAATTGGTCTACATCATAACAAGGATTTACCAACATCAATCTAGTTACGACTATTAAAAAATGACGATCCTCAAGAATCAGTGAATAGGTATTGTTACAAAAAACCAAAACTACCGTTACACCTTAAATCGTACATATATAAATGTACGCTTAATTTAGTTGGCTTTGATAATAATCCAAAGCCTGGACTGAAACTAATAAAAAACAATTGTTGAATGGACTGGACGTAAGTAAACAACAAGCAAGAAATTGAGAATGGAGAGTCAAGTTAATTCGGGTAGATTTTGTAAGCTTTTCTGAATAAAATATGAAATACAATTCAACTAGTGTTATTTCTAATTAAAAGTGCTACACTCAGCGTACATGTTCGTTTTACGTTTTAATTTGGATGGTAAATTTATTGTTCTAGTGTGCTTAGTTGCTTATTGATAGGTTAAAACATTTGAAGTTTATATTCCATTGCAGACTATTAAAATGTAATCCAAAACAGTTTTTGGATTTTAATTAAATACATTGGTGTTGTTAAGCGTATGTATTTCAACCCTTCAAAAACGCATGCACGTAATAGCAATAAAGACATTTAAGTCACAATAAAATAAGCAATAATATTTTTCATATTAAAAATTCATTGATTTTAGCGGTGTTTAAAAATATTTTATCTTACCTAATTAATGGGCTATATTATGCGGTCTTAAATAAATATTGTTGTGAGATTTTCAATAAATCCATCTAAACAGTATGTTAACCCTAGGAGTGGCAGACCGACAGAAAATGTCGATTTCAAAATGTGCCGCTGGAGTGGCGAGCGACAGAATATGTCGATTTATGTAAAGTTTTTTTCCGTTGCATGTTAAGCACATTTAAAGTCAAAGAAGTGGTAATATGCGCTTTTCATATTAAAAAGACATTTTGTCCTCAATTGTTCCTTAACTGACCTGCTATGAATCGTCTAGTGCTAATCCGACAAACTATCTATCTATTTACTATCAACTATTTATGACTGGCTGGGTAGCTGAGTGGTTATAGTGCTCGCCTACTAATCAAATGGTCGCCGGTTCGATCCTGAGAAAAGTCAGTAGCTTTTTTATGGTTTGAAACTGGACCCAGCTGTTCCTGATCATTGGGCTTTAAATAAATGATCCTGGCTAATGAAACAGCTGATCTTAGTCAGTAACAAAGCTACACAGGTCATCACACACCATTCTACACTCATCCTTCACTCATATTTGGGTTAAAATACGCACCTAAGTGGCGTCCCCATCTTAATGATTGATATCTATCTAGATTATTTTGCATTTTTCAACTTTAAAATCAATGTACTTATCTCCTAGACGCCCATTGATCTATTTTAATGCGTTCTTTCCATCATCTACCAATCAAATTATCTTCTCGTCCAATCAACACTATTGACTGTAATTCAATGATAACAAAGATGGCTTTCCATCCCCTGATTCGTGGATGGCGGACGCACGGGCAGATTAGGGTCCGGAAGTCACGTGGCAAACGCGTGCCAGGCGTGCCAACTTGTTTGCTCCATATTCAATGCAAATATGTAAGGGATTACTTTATGATGGATTGGTCAAGATCAAATCAAATCAGTTTTGAATCTTCAGGGAATTAAACTAATGCACCCTTCAAAGAACACATATAAAATATTAAGTTCTAAAGCTTGTTTGGTAGTCAAGTGAGCATATTTCAAAAAATTTAAAAAGTATTTTATAGCTTTCTACTGTGAGCATTAAAAAATAAGCTAATCGTACTTTCAAAATGGTTCAATATATCCTCAATATTTAATCATGTCAGTTAACAAATGTTTAAACTTTGACATCATAATCTAATTTTTATAAACTAATTGTGCATATTTTAATCGTGACCAAGAAAGAGTTATTGATGTCATATGAACAAAAACTGTTCCTTAAGCCATTGCCCAATGAGTCTCTTCATCATTAATTTATCAATCTAGCTTAAATCACGATTTCTGATGGATTATCAGCACACAGTTGAAATTTAATACGAGCCTCTCGAGAAGGTTATAAAATAAACATATTAAGGAGCTCTTGTTGTAGAGCTATGTTTTGTTGTACTCATAATGGATTGAGGTTTAAAATCCAAATGTCAAAATTTATGTGACAAAAGCTCTTGGACCATATCGAAATCGAACCATATACAAAAAAATACAAAAGAGCCAATTGCTTTGGCCTGGTCTCAACCATTCGTATATTTTTTCCTCTCACGTTTGCTATTGCCATTTTAACTTGATAATTATTTTATCACATCCGTAGGAATACTCTGTACCTCCAAAAAAGTATTGGGGAAAGCAGAACTTGTAAACTTTACACATTATATTATATTATACACATTATATTATTTGCAGGTTAAGTGTAAGAAAGGGCCATGTGGCCCTAACTTTGCCTGTTGAAATAAAGGATTTTCATTTCATTTTCATTTCATTATATTTAATTCATTAATTCGGTAGTGTGACATAATTAGGACTACGGTACTGGTATATCATGGACGCGAGGAGAAATCTGACTCCTGGATCATGGGGGTATTAATAGAGGTATTTGTAAGAGAATGCCATGTCCTCCTCCAAAAAAAGCTAATGTGCGTAAAACGTATCAAACATCATTGTTCGATTTTTACAAGCCAGAATTATCATTTAAAAAGGTTAAACATATTTTTTTATGTCACAGATAGACCGGTGATCCTCGATCGGTTACAGAGTATGGTCAATTTTAAAATCAGATTTTCTCAGGAGAGTCAGCATCACCACTGCCCCCCCTCACCACAATGGGCTACGTAGGTTGGTTATTTAATCCGAAGGTTTTGTAGTTTTGTAAATTAATTTTACTTTCGAGGTTTATTTCGTTATCCATTAACTGATTAGTATAAAAGCATAGCCTAGAGGAGGTTATGGTAAAAATAATTCTTCTCATTTCTATAAATCGTTAAGATGCCAATCAAGCATGTGGGCTTTCTTAGTTTTTGTTATATATTCAGAGTAACTTTGATGTGGAAAGTATATCAGGATTAAGATATTTAGTATAAATGAAAAATTCAGTTTTTTAGCTGTCATTGCAAAGTTTCCACTACCAATCACTCTTGATAGTATGACTTTCCCTAATACCCACTCTATGGCTAAACACGTGTTTTGCTATTGGTAGCACTGATTTAAAAAGGAAAAAAGAAACATGTGGTGTGGTGACTGGTGAAAGGTGATTTGATTGGTGAATGAATGAATATAGTTTTTTTTGTCAATGTGTGTATGCATGCATGGCAGAAGGATTTATACTTGTGTGTTAGTGCAATTTTCCATTAATATTTTAATTATTATCAATTATGTCTGATCCAAAAATTAAACTCATGGATGAAATTAAAGAGCAGGGAGAAGTTGTGAGAAAATTAAAATCAGCTAAAGCCGATAAAGACAAGGTATTTCATCATTCGTTTATCTTTAATCATAATATAGGTTATGCCACTCAGTCTGATGCAATCTAGCTTGTACATATTTTCTTATATCAAATCAATCTTTGTAATTACTATAGACTAAAATAGAAAATATCAGCTACAGCAGTTTTCTACTAGATGTGGTGTTGTTAAGTCGGTAACATGTTTGTGCTTCAACAAATAGCATTGATGCCAGGGACATCACTATGCTTTGTAAGCATTGTCATTGTAAGCAGACTGTATCAATTTCACATTTTAAGTAAGGAAATTACTTTGTAAACTAAATTTGCATATCTACTAATCTTTTAGCTACATGATTTAATCCTTAGTAACTTAAGTACTCCTTATTGTAGGCTACATAAACTTGACCACACAGTTTCAGTGGGCTACCTTCTATATTTTTTTGTAGATGTTTACACCCATACAATCAACGGTACAACCATGTTTGCATATTCAAATCCTGTATATCCTTCAACGATAACAATGTGCAGTTCAATATAAAAATCATCATAATGTAGCCTAGCCTAATGTAGGTTACTAGGCCTAGAACCTCTGTGCTAGAAATATAATGGAACTGGAGGGAGCACTGATATGGTACTGGTAACTGCTAAAAAATCAAAATGCTGTAACTTGCAACTAGGGGAACCAGCTCATTGGCTCATGGCTTTATACGTAAGTTAGGTACAATCTCACCTTGAAGTTCAAATGTAGGCTACTACTAAGCATACAAAGTTAACGTTATAATAGAGGCCATAAGTTAGGCCTAGGCCTACCCTAGTTGTACAAATGGCGGTTAACGCGACACAATTATCTCATTCATTTCTACCTCAGTTATGTCTCTAACTCAGTGACTAGAACTAAGTTAGTAGCCAAGTTAGTATGGCTCAGGATCTAGCTGAGGACGGTTGGTAAGCGTTAGTATTGTGTCTCTAATACCAGCATACCCTAATTGTGGTGTGGGTTGGTAGTAAATTTACCCGTAAAAACCCTGTCTGGCAAGCTTAGAAATAAAATTGTTGTCCCATTTTTCTCCCTCCAATTGGCAATACAATGGAACTGGGTACGTTCCAAGCAGTGCTGCTATCTGAGGCGTGTTTTAGCGAATTTCGTCGACTCTCGTAACACAGCACATCACCTTGTAAGACCAAAATATTTGAAAGCCAATCGCCTGGCAATCGGGTTTGTTCGACGCTGCGCCTCACCTGGGCTTACTTACGCCTGCCATTGACAGGTCGCAGCGAATGTGTTAAATTGTGTGATCTACACTTCTAAGAAATTATAACATACTAGGCCTACTTAAGTTTAATCGCTTTAAAAATTCTAAAATTTAAGGACTTGGCTATTTGTTAAAATGTGAAAAGTCCGTAACTTATGAGAATCAGGAAATTCAATAAATCACTAGGCCTATAAGTTATAGAGGTACTTATATCTAAAATCATGATTATTTAAGTAGCCTACAGAGCTCTTTGAACTCTTGTAAGCCTAATAAGCTATTTAAATGCCTATAATTTTTTTTTTTACAATTTCCTACTGTTCAGTTATATAAATTAGGCCTACTTCACTAAAAACTGAGAGTTTTGGGTGTTTGTCAGCTAGATGTAGGCCTAAGCCAGGCAGATGACAAACTGTATTTGCAAGATTGGCCGTCCTAATTTAATAGGTGCTGGATAAGGAATTGTCTCAAAGAAGGCGCTAATGGATCTAAAAAAACTGTTTTTTAAACATTTCAAATTTTAAATTATCGAGAATAGCAAACTAATACCTTGTTTTATTTTTTGGGAAGCTGGTGTAAGGAAGTGGTGGCGTTGGCTGTATTCGGATCATTCATTTAATTGACAGAGATTTTCACAATGTATCCAGCAGCACTCTTAGTCAAACAAATCACCCAAAAGTCCTCTCAATTTAGTATTTTACGAAGATGTATTAGAAAGGGAATTATGAGATCATCAGTTGCTCAGGGAAAGGTGAGTTTAGACACCTTTGAACGGAGTTTAGTAACTTCAATATCCAAATTCGTTTCGAATACCAAATTGTGCGTCAGTGTGAAGTAGCATTATGTATATGTAAATCAGCTTTTGTTGTTTGTTTGATGTTTCGTACTATAACTCCTACTGTTTAACAGGTCTTTTGATTCCCTTTTCAAATAATTATATTTTACCCATAATTTGAATAACTTACCCTGAGGGCGTAGTAATGTCAAATCCTTAATTTTAACTTAAGCTCATCTGTATTTATGCATCCGATTTTTATGGATCTATTTAAAGCTATTTAAGATTAGAAAAATTAATTTATTTTGGGTCTTAATACAATTCTCAATAATAATGAAGGACTGGGTCTAGTAAAAAAAGAGGGTAGCAGATAGTTCCAGGACAAGAACACGGGTGATTTTTCACCTTGTCAGCAAAAACCCTTGGCTAAAATAGGCTATATTACTTATTTATACAAAAAAATAATCGCAACCTTCTGTGCATTATGGTTAGAACTTACTAAGTTAATCTATTTATTTTTGTTTGGGCGACCACTTGATCATGATGTTAAAAGTTAAAAAGTTTATGTCCCTTTATTAAGTGTTTGAATATTTCTTGTGACAATTTTGACAATGTTAAGATATTTCATAAGGGATCTATAGTACTACAAACAAGTTATTGAATGAAAGGATAACTAAATAGAGGAATAATTGACGTTAAAAAAGTACACAGCCTTTAACTATTAGGCCTATAGTCATTATAACAACAAATATGGACAATTAAGTCTTATATTTCATGTTAAGACAGGATAGTTGCAGAATAAATTTGTACCTAATGAGAAAACCAAGCTTTTGATTTCATAGTTTTTGGTACGAGGGCAATTCAGGGGCGGCTCCAGGAATAATTTTTTGGGTAGTTCTGAAAGGGATCAAGAAAGAGTTTGATCTGGGGACGAGAGGTTTAGAGGGCTTACCGCGCAAAAAAGGGGGAATTAATAAATTTAAATGCTAAATAATTAGTTTAAATTCTTCCCTTTATTTACATATTATAAAATTTATTTATAATTTTGAAAAATATACCAAAAGTTTGTGTAGGCCCGGGCCAACCTGGACTGCCCTCTGGAGCTGCCGCTGGGGCAATAGTTCTGCCAATTTCTAAACCTAATTAATAAATTAAGATATTTTTGTTAGCCGAGAATCGCAAAGAAGATCTCCAGAACAGTGATAGTTTTACTTATCGAAAACACCTCTTTTTAAACTTGATGTGGACTTACTTAAAACATTCTTCCAACTACTAAACAAGGAACTAAAAAATTACAGTATATTACAAAAGACATTTGTGATTCGCAGAATTCAAACCTATGCCACCGTGACATAAGCCCTGCACTCTATCCAATAGACTAGCCTAGCCTTTCTGGAAGTACCACTATCCCTACATAAAATTGTTATTTGTGAAAGCTAAAAACATCTAGCGAAATGAAAGTATTAGGCAATAGCGTGACACAACAGACAGTAGTCACGCTTGGATACAGTTTAAGATGTACTTTCACTTCTGTGTCTGGCCCGAACAAGTGAACCAGTTAGGTGAAACATGTCCCAGACTACTGACCCGGGCCAGGTGAGTTGTATGTCAAGGTTACATGCATTGACCTTGGCTGGAACCAGTTGCAGTACTGTATTGATATTAAGATCAAACCACATCTGTACAGTACTCTCCTTGTCGCATATGCCAAATGTCCAAATAAATAATATTTATTGTAGAAAAATTGATTTGATTTAGGCCTACTATAGTTCGGCCGCTTAGAAAGCGACCTCCTCCAGCATTGGTTTAGCATTAGCGGCAAGGTTGTTTTCTAAGCGGCCGAACTATAGTAGGCCCTACCATTTTATTAGCCTATTACCGTAGCGTTCACTACTTAGTGAAGTGTCTATAGGCTGGGTATAACTGATTTAGAGTTTGTGGATTACTGAAATTTTTTTAATCACTCATATGCTACATATTTTTACCTTGCTGTCTATGCCGGTGTCGTTTTTACAAGAGTTGATTTATTAATCGAATAGTTAGTTCATTTCCTCTTCAGTCATGCTTCGGTTTAACCCAAAACTTAATAAGTGACGGAAATATTTCTAAAACTACAAAATAATCAATTTGTCAGGAAACAAGATTGTATTTTAATCATCAGGCCTACATCTAAACTTTCTTGTTCAATCACTGTTTTTTCCCTACATTCGTTCCATTGTAACTGAAATGTTAATTTTTGCATGCTTTGCGGTAGATTGAAGTTACGGTCTTTTGGGATTGCTGGTGTAGTAGGATTGAAATGCAGAACATCTCAATTAAATTAATTGTATGCACACAGGGTAGCACTCCATTCTGAAATTTTTTAATGTGGTCCACAGTAGTATAATTCAAAGCATTTACATAATTGTATTCACTATTGAATTTTGTCCATTTAGGATTTCTATTAATCTTTGTTATTTTAATTATAAAAATAATATTTATGTTAATATAAGTTTTGTTAAGTCTTTGTATTTTTTTTAACCATTGCAATCAAAAATGTTTATTTTACAAAAGTTTCTCGACATGCTTTTAAGCTAACTGTAGCCTATTTGAACTAAATCAGATTTGGAATTAGTAACAGGGAGAAAATTCTTATGGCGGCTTCTTCCTACAAAACATCTTAGTCATAATTTAATTGACTATTAATCTTGATCCAAACAAATCTATGCACACAAGCTGTAGAGAGGTTATGAATGCTTGAGGACGGTTAAAAGAAAAGAGTGAATGCTTTTCCACAAACAATAACAATGATCAGAATCTATAAATGTTTTCGGCAACAACCGCGTTGCCATTTGAAAATTGCTGCCAAAAATGTTGTTCTTACTTTGAAGGAGTATTCTCAGTACCTAGGCTGAGCCAAAGGACGCCTCCTTAAAACAAGGGTAAAATTTCACACAGGAACTGGCCACTTGCTTGACACAGAGTACCACTACAACGGATTCAAATTACTCCGGCCACAAAAGCTAAAAGCTTACAAATGAAAAATAACAGTGATTCGAGAAACGACAACTAGACACCCATTTTGCTAGTCACCTTATTTTGTACGCTCAAATGTATTTTCTGTAATCTTATTTTCTTCAACTTAAAAATTTTCTAACTTTTCGTACTATTTTGGTCAGATTTTTAAAATTTGTTATTTGATTGATAGTAGACATTCCCTTCCCATGTTAAAGCTGATGCCAGTTTTGGAAAAGAAGTGGAAGTGGTCACTCCCAAAGTGTGCTGCTGTCATTTACTGATTTTTGTCAAATAGCCAAATTGAAAGGATAAGCTATTATGATCTTGCTTGACAACAGCTCATTCTATTAGTGGCCCATTAACTACGTTCAATTAAATGGCTGGTTTATATAATGAGATGTCTACCTAAGTATCCCAAGGTCTATGAGGTCAACATAATCGTGGTGTTGCCGTAGATTGGTGAGGAGGTGGGTAAGCTGTTGGCTCTGAAGGCTCGGCTTGGCTCTGAGAACGGTGTGGACGGTGAGGACGGCGCTACGCAGAAGTTTACCCTCAAGACACCGAAGGGCACCAGGGACTATGGCCCCCACCACATGGCGCTGCGGCTCGGCGTGCTGGACAAGATCATCACGGTATTCAAGCGGCACGGCGCAGAGACTATTGACACACCCATCTTTGAACTCAAGGTGAGAAGGGCTTATTTGTGTTACAGCGGTTTAGTTTTTCTATTATAATTCTGTTTGGCAACTAAAATGGCTACAATTATAAAATACCCCCGCCGCAGCAAACCTGCCGTCTAAGCGAATTTCCATTTGGCCGAATTGATTTTCAATTGATCTATTTAAATAACATTATTAGGTTTAACGAGTACCTAGGTTTGCTGCTACAAGGAAACTAATAAAGTAGTGTGTTTTTAGTAAAATATTGATAGCTTACTATAAAATAAATAAATTTGCCAAGTTTGATCAAAATATATCCATAAACAAGCAAACTACAACATTTTACAATATTCTCCATAAGAATAACATGGGAATTTCAAATTTACCATTTTTTTAGTTTTCTCCGTAACCAATAACCGTAAAAAAACACTTTGATATACTGAATTGTTTGTTTTTTTAAGCTCTTTAAGAAGGTTTAGAGAAAAATTGGGAAATTTTGTGTTTTGAGGGTAAAAAGTGGGAAAAACCAATTTTTACCCCATAAAACCCCCCATAAAACCCTGTTCCCATGGTCCGATCATGCTGGATCGCGAACTCATTCAAGTTTATCCCGCTTTACACCTTCAAACCAAATTTCATCAAAATCGGATAAAAATTACTCAAGTTATCGTGTTCACGGACACATATATATATATATAAATCTCTATATATATATATATATATATACATATATAAAAATTTGAACTAATGGTGTTTTTGGCCTCTGGGGACATTAAAATGAAAAAGTAAATCGGTCCCGGGCCTAAGTCTTACCATGAGACCTACGGTAATAGCTACTCCCTATAGGGAAATTCGCTAAAACATATAGCATATGTTTGGATAAAGTGATTTGATTATCTATCTTTGAATTCAAGGTATAAAATGGGTTTTTTATTATCATGCATAGGCCTATCTTCACAACCTTTTCACAAACTATTTTCACAAACTTTTTAATTTAATGGATATTGTTTGTTTACATTATTTTTTAGGACCTGAACTGACTATCCTAAACTTAAAACCTTTACTATTGGATGAGAGGTTATAGTGCCTTCTGTATGATATGATATACCATATCTAACTCTTAGTTGTCCGATACATCCAGTTTAAAGGTTTAGTTCTGTAATCGAGCCATTATTCTTCAGAGTAGCCTAAGTTTAGAAAATGGGGAGTGAGTTGTGTAAATAGAGAAAGTACACAGTTAAAATTATTTCCAATTTTTTTTTTTTGTTACTTTTAATCAAAGCTTTACCAGAAAGTAGTTCCTATCTGCATATTTACTGTCTGAAAAAGTTGATGATAAGATTAGGAAATTATTGGCAAAATAATATTGAACATCTCTACATTTTCATGAAAACCCATAACTTTTCAGGAAGTACTCACAGGGAAGTACGGAGAGGACTCAAAGCTGATATACGACTTGGCAGACCAGGGTGGGGAACTGTTATCTCTCAGGTACGACCTGACTGTACCCTTCGCTAGGTATCTGGCCATGAACAAGATCAGCAACATCAAGAGATACCACATAGCCAAGGTGTACAGGAGAGACAACCCGGCTATGACCCGGGGACGCTACCGGGAGTTCTACCAGTGTGTGAGTATTGGTTGTGTGGAGCAATTGTTGATTTTGAAGTGTCAAAAATATACCTTTCTTCAAATTACATTCCTTCGCAGTAAAGTTTGGTTAGATTAGTTGAGAAATTCAGTTTGAGGGGCTTAGAGCATAGCCAAAAAGAATTTAACTTATACCGTCATCTGTACTGCGGTTACCATAGGTTCTGGCACACACCGCTGGTAGTTACAAATGTACATGTAGTTACATGTAGTTACAACGTACGCACTACGTAACTGCACTGCGCTCCCAGCGGTGTGCGCCAGAACCTATGGTAACCGCAGCACAGCTGACAGTCTATATTTAATTCTTTTGTCTATGCTTAGAGGCATGCAAAGAAAAATTTAACCCAACACTTGTATTTCGTCCAATTGTTGGATTTTGTTACTCCGCGAGCTTGGAGATACTACAATACAAACTTCCCATTGATGTTCATCATGTAGAACTTCTTCAGACCGTAGATGGATGGGGGATTACAGTTTAATCTAGAATGCAGGCTTCAGAGATTTTGGGAGATGATCGTTTTGATGAACTGCAAAAATACTGGTCAACTTTGCGGATAGATTGTAGCAATATATCTTAAAGACAAGCTACTTTTAAACATTTTCTCCTAATTTAACTTGACTAGACATAATGAAAACTCTAGAACAATTTGCACGGAAATAACAAGATTTAATTTTGTTTCAGGATTTTGACATAGCAGGAATCTATGATCCAATGATCCCAGAGGCTGAATGCATGCGAGTAGTATACGAAATCCTGGATTCTCTACAGTTAGGCAAATTTCTAATCAAGGTTAATCACAGACTTCTTCTTGATGGCATTTTTGAAGCGTGTGGAGTTCCAAATGAAATGTTCAGATCCATCTGTTCTGCAGTGGATAAACTAGACAAGGTAAGTTAACTTTTTATACTTAATGGTGTCCTTTAAGTTTAATACTAGCAATTATGTTCTTTCATTATTATGCCACCTGTTTTGCAGTTTCCCTGATACTGAACTAGGCCTACTTGAAATCTGGCATAGAAGTTAAAGGAAAATTCTCATAGGCTTGTTATAAAATCTTGTTTTCTTTTCTTCTTGCACAGTTTCTTATTTAAAAATTGATAAGAGTTTTTCTAATTTTGTCTTTTCACATTCTTCAGACATCCAAGTCACCCATTTTTACTTCTCTTCATTCACGACCTTCTACAGTTTTGAGTTTTCTAGCCATTATCAACTTCCTAATTCTTAACCTCTACTTAATTAGCCTATTCCGATATTTTTTTCCTCCTACTTACCCATATTAAAAACGCCTCCTTCCCATTTCCTAGGTTTCTATCTATTCAACTACCTGAACACACTACCATGACACAATTATAGCTTACCTTCTATACAAAATTATCATCTCACTCTAAGGTATTGACTGATTGACTCCCAACATCTAAACTATGATTGATGTTTCAGCTGTCGTGGGAAGAAGTGAGAAATGAAATGGTGAATGAGAAACACTTGCCAGGAGACATTGCAGATCAGATTGGTGAGTATGTGAGACAAAGTGGGAAAGTGGACTTGGTGGAGAAACTGATGCAAGACGCTAAACTGGCGGAGAAGTCTAAGAGTGCCAAGGAAGGACTGGAGGCGATGAAGCTGTTCCTGCGATACATCGACCTCTACGACCTCATGCAGTATGTTGTGTTCGACCTGAGCTTGGCGAGAGGACTGGACTACTACACGGGAGTCATCTATGAAGCTATACTACTAGGTTAGTTAAGTGGTTTTGTTTATTATCTTAAGTCGTTAGCTCATTCCGTAGCGTGCTAAAATACAAATCACAGTGACATTGTTGTGTGTTTACGTTTCAGTGCAGCCACGTATGTTTTTACTACAATTAATACTATCACTGTACTGTCTCGCCCTTTGTATTGCTCTATTACCATGCACAAGCTAGAGTCCTAAGTGGACGGAATGCTGACCTATGCATAAGCTAGAGTCCCAAGTGGACGGAATGCTGACCTCAAAAAAATATGTAAATATTATAGGGAATATTCATGTAACCGTGATGGTCACGCAAAATGTATTGGGACATTAAGTATTTTCTTCATAACTAAATTGATGAAAATACTTTTTACAATAAAAGGTCTTTATCCGGCGTCCGATAGTACGGCATTTTCAATGATCTGGCATCAGTCTAAAGTTCTAAAAGGCTTTTTTAAATGCTGTTGTAAACCATATTGGTAAGTTTGGTAAAGTTGAGAGCAATCGATAGACATCAGGAGCAAACGACAGACACATCGGTTGAACTCGATGAAATTCACAGGCGTTTTATTTTTATTTTTTGTTTTATGGATTTAATATCACTATCAAATTATCAGAAAGAACAGTGAAACACGGAATAATGGTCCGCTGGCCTAAAATGTTGTTTTAACGGCTGCTTGTCGTGATCATTTTCAGTAATTCAGGACTGCCAGATCCAGAACATGGCAGATTTACTAGTCTACTGTATATTGATCAACATGGTTTTTTTGTATAATTAACCTGAAAACAATCAGGAAAACATTCTTTTTTACCTTGAACAAATCAAACTTTTTTGTAACTATGAACTGTAATGATATAGTAACGTTTAATCTAGTCTCTAACATACACCTTCCCACACACATATTCGTTCTCCTCAACACCCAGGCCTACCTCAGGCTTCATTACCTCAGTCAGGCAAGAGATAGCCTACCATTTATTTCTACTTCTTCAGGTGATTTATTTAAAACTACTTTTAGAACAATAATTGGTTTTGCAACTCCAATACCATAATTATTTTAGGTTATCCTCTCACAGTTATAATTTATGATGCTCAGGTGACGGCAGAGGGGAGACAGTGGGCAGCGTGGCAGGGGGAGGCAGATACGACAACCTCGTCGGAATGTTCGACCCTAAACACAAGAACGTCCCCTGTGTCGGGGTCTCCATCGGTGTGGAGAGGATATTCGCTGTCCTAGAAGCTCAAATGGCCAGCGAGCAGCAGAAGATAAGGACAACAGAGGTTGAAATCTATGTTGCCTCAGCACAGAAGAACCTGGTGGAAGAGAGGATGAAGCTGTGCAAAGAGCTTTGGGACGTCGGGATCAAGGTAAACTTCCGAGGAAGCGTTGGTTATTGGTTGGCTTAAAACTTATCACTCAACAATAGTAGAATATTGAGGGTTTGATTGGAGTAGAACTTGAATGTGCTGTGTTTAAGACAATTTACTCTTGTAGTAAGTTGACACATTACAGTGTGTAGTTTAATTAGGTGTTTGAAGGATGGATGTAAATAAATAAGATGTTTGTTTACATAAAGGTTTACATTTAGTGAATAAGACTAGCAAATCTTTTAGTATAAGGATCATCAATCAAGGTCAGTTATCCCTCTTGATCCAGTATTGAACCTTTCAAAAAATAGTGTCCAACTTTTCTGACAATTGTACTGGTATGATTACTTGGATCCTAGCATGTACTAGGCCTAACATACAATGGACCAAACTGGCTGATCTAAGCCCCCACCAACGCACGTTCTTTTTATAGATAAATTATAAACCTTGTCAGTAAACGCAAGTAATTTGTAATCTTGAGGACCCTATTTTAAAATTATAATTATACTACTATACTAGTAATGATAAGGTCGACCAATTTGGTTTTAATTTGTTAAAATAACAATGACATAAAAACATAGTATATTATAAACAATTATAAAATGATAAATAACATTTGAAATAATCTCCTGATATTGCCAGTGAAATAATATGTCTCTTCAAATTGTGTACAATTGTTGGGTATCCTTAATTTTAAAACATTGTACCCTCACTAGAGTAGGTCTAGTTAACATTGTGATGCCTTGTTTATAACTTAATGTGGAAGGTTGGTTTATATGTTGTTTTTGCAACTAGTGAAAAACAGTGCTTTATGTCATTCAATCATTAATCACTACAACATTCAAATACACATCCATGCAATTTTCTTGGACAAAAAGTGTTGCTTTAGTTAGGTTTCTTATTTCTTATGGGACCATGTCAATAAGCACTAAGCAGCCTCAAGCCTTATTGCACAAGTTTACTGTCAAACAAAAATAACAAAGAAGAAACCTTGCCAGACTAGTCAGAACAGTTACATTTGCTTGCACCTATTGAGACTTGAGGTTCTGACACAAGTTCCTCCAAATCTTAGGCTTCGGGTTCGATACAAGCGGCACGCAAGCGGTGGGGGTGGCTACGATACAAGCGGCACATTTATAACACTCATCAAATTTCCCCCGTTGTAGGAGTCAGTTGAGTCGATGATAGCAAACTGTGCTGACCCGCAAGGCGTATTGCAACTATTGTTGTTATCTTGCAATTCTCTTTTAAAGAAAAACTTGCTTTTCTAGAAATATTTAGCTCCCACTTTGTCCTATAGGTTTCTAGTGACCAAAGTGTTTTTAAAACCTCGGTGCTGGTCATTCGACAAACATTCCCTGGACTGCACCTCACTTATAAACACTTTCATTTGAGAATCACTTAGCTTGACCTCTATCTTATTGAGTTTGGCTGGAGGCTCACACGTTTGCTGCTGTTCCTCTGGCATTTTTGGCTAAACTGAAGCATGACACCTGAAGCGGTGAGCGGCGTTTATGCGAAAATCCCATCGCTTACCACCGCACAGACTTATCGTGGCTACCCTCAAAAAATTGACACATAAATGAGGCCCGTTGTCAGAGCGGTGCCGCTCGTATCGTACCCGGGGCCATACTCTGATAAACAAAACATAGCCTATGTTGATATCTGTATTCAGCTTTATAATAGTTACAGAACAACTATATAGTTTCACAAGTGAATGATTTTATCAAGCTATTATTCATTAAAGTATTTTTGTACATGCCTCATTTAAGTTATGAAATTTTAACCCGACATAGGTCTACACTCCAATGTATGAACAACTAAAGAAATGTTTTAAATGCTCATTTATAACGTTAACAGACTGGTAAGTAAAGGCATAAATATTTCCATTTGTTAGTTCGTTTAAAATTCATTTATACATCAGATGAAAATAAAAAAATTACCATCTTATGTTTGATCTGAAAATGAAAGCTTTTACTTTGGAAATAGCTGTTGTCCTGAGTATATTATAAAGCTGAAGTGCTTTGTAAAATAATATTGCAGTTCTTCTGTAACTAACTGACCAATATATTTTCCAGGCAGAACAGTCGTACAAGAAGAATCCCAAACTGTTAGCTCAACTACAGCACTGTGAGGAGATGGGAATCCCTTGGGCATTGATTGTTGGAGAGTCCGAGATACAACGGGGAGTTGTCAAGCTGCGCAACGTGACGACGAGGCAGGAAATAGAGATCGCCAGGGACGCAATCGCTCAAGAAATGAAGTCACGGTTGGAGAATTCATAGATCTGATCTTTGGTCTTGGGTATATTCTTCAGTTCCTTATATCGCGAAATATCATGGCAAGTGTAAGCAATTATTTGGTTATTTCTGTAGATTTTTGCATTTTTTTTTCGTTTCATATCTTTATAGCCATTTATTTAAATATTTTTTATGAATTGCAATATTCATAAGTTAATATTTTATCTAACCAAAGAATTTTCAAATTACAGCTTCACAAATTATTTTTTGTAACCTGTAAGATATATAGGCCTAGGTGTCTCAATCTCGAGGGTTCAATCCAATCCCAGAATTTCAGGATTAGGGCCTACCTATGTAGTCTAAGTTGATCCCAGAATCAACCCTAAGATTAGATTATTTTGTGATTTCTATTTTTAGCAATTTTTAATGAATTTGGAGTCCTTTGTTGAGCCCCCTAATGTTTTAAACCAGCCATACAAAATTTACACCAAGCACTTTTGCTGTCTTTCAAAGTAAAAAACAAATAATATACAGCATATACATTTAGATCAGATGATCAAATACACACAAAAGAAAACACATGCAACTGCACTTGCATTTAAGTGTCACTCTAAATTGCACACCTCTAATACTTCAACTATCGGAAACAACTGAAACGCAAATATTGCTGGTTCATCACTGATTGCACCATATATTTATGCAATGTCAATTGGGATCTATGTGTTTAATGGCAAGTAATACTCCTAAATCAACAAAAAAGTTATAGAAATTATTGTTTTTGTAAATGACTCTAATCCTGCGATTTTAAGGTATCAAATACCAGCCTGGATCCCGGGATTGAGACCTCTTAACACAAAAATTTAGTTCTTATAGCCTGAATTTTTCCAAAAATCCATAATCCTCTTGGCTCAGTAAACTTTGATGATTTATTGATAACCATCAACAACAACAACTACAACAACAACATATCTATAAAACTGTAGACAACAAAATAATATTAAAAAAAATTCAATCAACAATATAAAAAAAAAACTTGTTACATCTTATGTACATTAAAGAAAAATGAAAACGGCATTTAAAATAAAACATGTAGGCTAATTGCATTTACGACAATGTTTTATAAGATTTTAAAACATAGTTTATATTTGGTTTTGCATTTTGCATATTTAGTACACAAAAAAGTTTTGTTACGTACGTAATAAATAAGAACTGTTACTTATTGTTGTTTTTCTTTAAGTATTTAGCCAATTCCATAATCCAAAATTTACTAGTTTTTACACTAAACATGTTGGATCAGTGACAGTTTTATATTTCTTGATCAGTATAAAAAAATTAACATTGTTTGTTTGTACTGTAATTGTTAAGGTATTTATTGTGTAAATATTAGTTGAATTGTACAGAATGTATTTATGTTTGAACTTTTATAGACATAAACTGTTGTATTTGGATAGGACATTTTGTAAAAGTACATTATTTTTATCTGATTACACACAAGCGGTGTCTGTAATTTATACAATATACATTTTTAAGGGATGCAAAAGTGTTCACTTTATTTTAATATTCTTTAATTTTTTCTACTGTGTGAACAATAATTAACTACTTTAATTAACTTTCACAAATTGAAGTAATTTGTTGGTTAATTTAGCAGTTATAGACACATATTCAGCTGAAACCACAAGAATGCCAATAATACTAGACACTTACTTTCTAAAAAATATCTTTAAAATTTACTTAACTGGCTTACCGTTCAAAATATAAAATAATATCAAAAAGAGGCTTAAAATTAGTGTAGCCAACATTTATAGTAAAGTAGGATCATGCTTAATTTATGATCACACCAATGAAATTGTTTGTAAAAAAAATTTTGATAAAGAAACAATAGTTAATTTCTTTCCTGGATTCTGACTTGACTTAGTTGTGGGTGTTTTTTTCATTACTATTTAAAATAGTTATTTTTTTTTTTAAGAATGACAAACTCTTTCTTATCGTTCACTGCATGAAAGCAATTTATTTTATAGGCAATTTATTAGGTTCTGAATAAAATCATATTTTGTAAAACAATATGTGTTTCTTATTGGCAACTACCCCTTACCAAAAGTATCTTGAATTGCTTTTAAAAACAGTATAGCCTAAGCCTAATCTGTTATTTTAGTAACAACATTAATTGTGTTTACTTTAAAGTGTACTAACTTACATCAAGAGTCGGCAGGAGTCAATAATTTTGCATTGTTATTGACCGTCAGATGCCAGGCGATACAGAGGTTGTCCGAGCGCCGATCAGCAAATAAAGGCGTTCACGTTGACACATATTAATCATGCATCGTAAGCTTATTTACCGAGCAGAAAGTTTTATGTGACTCTTAAATATATTTTCAGTGTGAATTGCTTTTCGGATTTTTGAAACTTTTGTTTTAGAGGTTGAAAAAAATCGCTGTTTGAGTCGATATATTTATTTAGTGTGACAAAATAAAAACAATTTAAATAAAAAAATAGATAGCAAATCATATTTCAATAGCTTTATAATCATACATTTTGCATTTTTTTATCTTCTTAATATACAATGCCGTAATAATCCACAACCATTAACATTGCCATTATGGACAGAAAATCCAAGATGGCTGGCGGACTTTTGTCCATTATATGTATTGCAAAATCCTCACTTCAAATGTTACAACAGGAACATAGCATACATACAGTATTTTTAATTGTTCATATATAAAAATAAATTGTAACTGTAAAGTGTAAACAAATCACAAGTAACAACAACTTTCTATATGGAAATTTTTCTTCAAAAAACAAAATTAAGTTGGGATAGTCCACTTAACGTAACCTTTTTACTTAAATCATGTTTCTCTGCTCATAGACATGACGTCTAAATATTTTAGAGAATTGTGAGTCTCTTTAACATTCAATTAAAACTTAATTAAGTTAAATTAAGAACTGTAAAACTCTGAGGCTCAGGAATGAAGGCTGTAAGAGCTCTCAGGCTGTAAGAAATAATGGCTTAGATTTTACAGTGGTGGTTTCTTATAAATGGTGGGTTTTGTTTTATCACTATTTTGATGTACAGGGCGTGATGTCATGCTTTTCCAACATGTGCTTGTACAGCCCAGCTCTTCTTGGGGTCCCTATTTCCAGGACGGACCTAGAACTTGCCTTACACGTCTAAATGCCCTAGTTACTCGGATTAACTTGTGACAATTTGTAATTGCTGATGTCTTACAGTACATATTTTGAAGTCCGAATATCCCAACCCCGAATACTTGCAGGAGGGTGGCAAAGGGGTCGTTGCACCTATGAACCAGCTTTGGAATGACCAGCTTCTTTACAAGGTTTAAATTCCAAGTTAGGGATTGCCAGTACAATTATTTGTTGTTCAGTTGTGTTGAAGTCTCACCCGTAGTGGTACCCTTTGTTACGTATAGTTGCTTTTAAGTTGTAGGAAACAGTTATTTATGACTGTCAACTTTTTCGGTTTGTATACAACTCAAATGTTTTTGTACGTATTTTACTGTAGCATATAGTGTATGTTAAATAGCTTATTCCCTTTATGGGAATTCGCTAAAATGAGAAAAAAAGGCCGCTCTGACTATAATTATTAAAACTGTTATGTACATTGATCTTAATCACTTTATGCAAGCGTCTCCACAATTCAAGCAAACTAGGCGAATTTGACATCAAGACCCCATACAAAGTTTTTTCAACACATCCAAAGCGAAAAATGCAGAAGAATGTTGAATAATGTGAGACTTATTGACTCTCACATGCGGCCTAGAACATCAAGTGTACAAGTGGATATTATTCAAACTACGATTTTATTGCTGGAGTAATCAGGACTCATAAGGTCATTTATATGACAAAGCCTGTTCTGCTGGTTTATTGAAAAAATCAGGTAGACAGACAGATGGGCGGGCGTCCCGAGTAGACAGCCCTTTATGAGTACGATATTCCACCATTTTCCAAGGTACGCTATGAGCACAGAATCCAGAGGGTGGGGAATAAGTTTATTGACATCGCTTTCAGCCTTGTATGTAGGGGGCGAGCAGAAACATACTTGTGACGAGCAAAGAAGAGCCAGAATGGCAAGCCCTGTGCGGAAATTCTTATCTCACAGGACACAGGGTACCTTCCTCCACCGTGAGCGTTATTTAGTACTTGAAGGCGAGGGGATAGTGTGGGACTTTGCACGGATACCAGCAGCACCAGTAGACACTTAACTTGAGCGCAGACCATTGAATGTTTCCTATATACTACTTCTCTGTGTAAAAACCAGAGAGCACGTGGAAAAAAAACACATAATTTAAATACAACACTTCTTCCTTAGATTATATTGTTTATTCATAAAAAAAAAATATTCAAAACAAAATTAAATGCTCTTATTAAAGTACCTATTTTGTTATTCAATCTCTGACACATGTATGTTTTATCCAGGCTTCATGGCTTCAAGTCCAAAAGAAACTTTAACATGAATTTACTTCCAAGTATATAATAATTTAATGACATATTGAAGGAAAAAACGAATCTTGCTCGCTCTATAATTATCAAAACACAAACACAAAGATAGTTGTTGTTGTGGGTTCAAAAACACATTTTTGGATTGTTATCACTGTAAACCATACTAGTTGGAGGTTGATTCATAAAATACTGATTTAGTTTTAAGGTTGGCTAAACCATAGATAAAACATAGGTCTATGTTTTATCTATGGCTAAACATTGCTACAGAAGTGTACACATAAACTTAAGCCTTTTGTCTTAACTTTGTTAAAATACTTGACAATTTCAATTACCTATCAGTATTATTATTTACACAATATGTTTTACATGTACTCGTAAGTTATTTCGTCATACTACGGTATCTGGTACTATAGTACTGTGACTGTATTTAGGGCCACCAAATAGTAGTTAGAGATGAATGGAACAAAAAAATAATATTGAAGGATGAAAAATTTACAAAGTATACGCCAATTAAAAAACGAGAGTTTTTGTCCGGGGAAAGTATCTTGTCAACAAATTGGAAGAGTGTAAACAAAAAAATATTTTGTAATAACTAAACGAATTTTATTCAGTATCGATGTTTTAATAATCTATGGTTAAACGTGAAACCACATTATGTAGGAGCATTTAGTGCATTTTACTTTATCGGTTGGTTACAGTGATCGCAGAAACAACTGACATCATCAGCTGGAAATAGGGAATTGAACCAGCTGGGCACAATAAACCAAACAAGTTACAAGTTATTCCCGTCGTCTGTTGTGTTGTGTTGATCGTTGCGTCGCGTCTCTCGCTGCAGTGCGTCGTCTGTTTGTCGGTTAGGTTAGGACAATAAAATCCGACACCGACGCGCGGCGGCAATTGAGAACCGATTCATTCATAGTTAGTTTATAGTTAATAGTTGTTGGGATCGCTTTTGTTTTGCAATATACTGTGTGCCCAGAGTGGAAGTCTCATCAATAATAGTGCCGTGTGGTGTAATGTTTGATGCTGAATCCTTTTTTCAGTTATGAGAGTAATTTCCATGTAAAATTGGATGAACTAGGCCTAGGCATTAGGCTTCTTCAGGATTCATTACAAATTTGTATTTTTATTCGTCCAGGTAAGATTATTTTCAGTATATTATAGAGATTAAAGGTTTTATTACATGCTGCATTATGACTGATTTTTTGGGCCCTAGTGCCACTCACAAAATTGGTGTGTTTTTGTATTTACAAAATACTTGTGAACAAATTTTCTTCGGGTACAGTTTCTTAACTGGGCTACGCTAATATCGATTGAAACTATCGATTCGATTAGTAAACCTTCATGCGATTTTTTCACCATCAGCAAGTTTGGTTGGTTAGGTTAGGTTATGATAGCTTTATTTTATAATAGATATATATAAAAATATCGATTATTAATCAGTATTTTCAATTCGATAGTTTTAATCAATATTAGCATAGCCCAGTTAAGAAACTGTACCCTTTTCTTCAGTAACCTAAAGTCTAATGAAAACAACTAACTTATTATTTTGATTTTTTAAAGAGTAGGCCTGCAGTCTCGCATAGAACCAAAGATATAGACCTGTTATCGGATGAAATATTACAGTATTTCGGTTTGGCCTTGCATATATGTAATTGGCCTATATTATATCGAATGTCGCTTTCACACAATATTATCGATTGTTTGAATAGGTCTTTAAACATTTTAAGCCATAGGGTCTTTTAAAGACTCTTTCGCTGTGCTGCTGTGGCTAGGTTACCTCAGTTTTGTACAGATTGGTTAAGTTTAGTTTAACGGGTAGACTTAATCTGTTGGCACAAACAACCGAATGGAAATATCGATTATTCGATTGTTTCATTTGATATATCGTTCGGTTAGTTAGGTTTGGTTAACCTTACCTAACAAACCAAACGATATATCGAATAATCGATATATTGATTGATATTTTCATTCGGTTGTTTGTGCCAACAGATATGGAAGTCTACCCAGTTTAACTTATGATATGTTTTTACAAAAAAGGTATAACATTGGCTTATAAAAATAACATTTTACACATACACTAAGACAATTAAACGCATACCTGTACATGGTATTTAAGCGCTCTATTTAGTTGGCATGACAATTTTCCCTGTGACTCTAAAATGGGGTATTTTGGGACAGCTATGCAATTTTAAACGTAAAACCCCACCTGGGAGCGGCATTTCATTTTAAAGGTGTCTTTTTTAACAAAGAAAATTATAAAAAGCAGAGTTCTCTAACTCAACCCAGTACAAAATGGCGACCATTTAAAATTTGTATCAGTCTGAGAGAACCCACAGAATTTTAATTTCTATGCATTTTCAAACGTCTATGATGTGGTACTGGGTTCAGATAGAGACCTCTAGTTTTCGCTGATATTCTTCTTTTGTAACTAAAGGCCTTTCAAATAAGTTGTCTCGATGAAGCACATTACATATGTAGAAAGCTCAAGAAATCCCCAGGTTATTTTGGGGTCCACCACAAAAAATTATCCTATCAACCAAAAAGTGTATGCCGTAGGTGTGAAGAGTATATAGTTTTCCTTGTGTAACCCATCAAAAGGTTAAGAGGGTGTAGGCCTACATAGTTTTGCCAGACCCTGTATAATGATAGTTGTTTTTTAAAGTCGTTAAGTTATCATTTTAATCTAAATTGGATTTGGTCTTAATAATGTGACAAATTATTGAATTTTAGATTTAGCAAAGAAATAGAAAGTGAGTTTTTCTGATACAGGCTATTGTTTATCCAAATGACAAGCCAGATTACCTGAATAATGTTCATTTCGCAAAAGCCAGCTTGATGAGACGGTATATCTTATCAAGAGGCTCATGGTTAAACTTTACAAGTTGTGGCCTAGTTGGCATTAATTAGCCTATTTAAGTAATAGTGTGACAAAGCTACTCCATCAAAATGTTGTCACAAGCAACAAAGAGATTAGGCTCGAATGAAAAAGCGACTTTTCTACCGATCCATTAAAAACTAAATTCAGGACTTTGATCTGGAAACATTAGGCATATAATTGGGACAGTTTTATTCTTGGCCTTTCCTTTGAATTCCTCTGGAATAGCGGCTTGGATGATATTAAAAGTGTGAGACTTCCTTCCTAGGCTTGGGCTCTAATCCTATTATTCACCAATACTTCTTTTGTAGCTACATACTGTATATTGTTATAATGCCATGAACTGGTAGTTTGTGGCTCAACTTCATGTTGTAGGCATACCTTTATGAAATTCAAATAACTCTGGTGCAGCGATCCTGTAGAATAAAGCAGGAAACCCACTAGTCCGACGCTCTCCGATCCGATCCGTCAAATCTCCGAAGCCTTCCGACAAAATTGCTAGCAATTCTTTAAATTGAATGTAACCCACTAGTCTGACGCTCTCCGCTCCGATCAGTTCTGATCTGATACTTTCCGACCATGAATACTAGAGTGTTTCCGACGACATTGCTCTCTGGGGCATTGTTGTTGGACGTCAGATCCGATTTTTCTCCAGTCTGCGTGCACCAGGTCTAGATTAGTCACTCTAGCTTCGATTGATTGACCCTAAACTACATGGGTGAGGAAGTTTGCTGATAATTTGATCAATTCTGTCAACGACACAGTACTGTTGAAAGTGTGGCGATTGTTACAACAGCTCTATAATTTTGTTAGTTGTACTTAATTTCTTGAATCTTTGTTTGAATTGTCTTTTGAGGTGGCATTATATTTTTTAGAAAGTTTTTAGCGAATTTCCCATATAGGGAATAAGCTATTACTGTAGGTCTTATGGTAAGACTTGGACCCGGGACCGATTTATTTTTTCATTTTGATGTCCCTAGAAGCCAAAAACACCATCCGTTCAAATTCATATATATGAATGTGTCCGCTAGCAGGATAACTTGAGCAAAAATGATCCAATTTCAATGAAATTTGGTACAAACATGTGAACCTACGTTTATTCAAACGAGTTCGTGAACCAGCATGATCGGACCATGAGAGCGGGGTTTTATAGGGTAAAAATTGGTTTTTAAAACTTAAAATTTCTCAAATTTTTCTAGACCATTTTGAAGAGCTAAAAAAAAACAATTTAGTAGCTATATTGAAGTGTTTCTGTATGATTATTGGTTAAGGAAAAAAGTTCAAATAAAAAATTCCCATGTTATTCTTTATTGAGAATAAGTAAACTGTTGTAGTTTGCTTGTTTATGGATATATTTGGATCAAACCTGGCAAATATACTTATTTTATACTAAGCTATTAAAATTTTACTAAAAAACACACTTTATTACCCCCAGTAGGCATCAAACCTAGGTTCTCATTAATCATAATGTTATTTGAATAGATTTAATTAAAAATTAAATTAGGCAAATGGAAATTCGCTTAGTCTGCAGGTTTGCTGTGGCGGAGGTATTTTTTATTTCAACATTCTTATACATAATACATCTTAATTAATTTAATTGTTAGTTGCTTGAAAGATGCTCTAAGTAGACATCCTATTAATATCGCCAAGGTGTAACCAGTAGGCAGGCCTACGCTTAAATAGTTAAATTGATTATTTATCATTTTACCAGTCCAAAGCCTGTAAAGTGTGATGGGATTCAGAAACTAGTTGTTCAACTTTAATTTTCAATGTGCATAGCATAACATAACATTCCTCATATCTAAGAAGATGGGGACTGGATTCCTTTTGCAACTCCATAAGAATTAACTCTGCACTTTCTAGACTGTCAGTGACTCAAATGAATTTAAAGTTTTTTTTCTTAAACTGACTACGCTTTGTAAATTTAATAATCTGTCTACTTGTGATTTGTTGTGAAAAATGATGTTTGGTCTTGCATAAATAATTGATTACAATTTTTTAATCAGGATTTAAAGTTTTATGGTGGGAGTTTTTCATAAGGTATATTTTTCTATGGGAAATTAATGGACTCTCCTTTTTTTATCAGTCTTATTATGGGTTTAGGCAAAAATGCAAATTTCGTTTCCTTAAAATGGTGCTTTTATAGAAATGCCGTTGGCTGGTTATTGCAACATTATAATACCCTGCTGCAGTGAACCTGCAGAGTAAGCAATTCCATTTGCCTAGTTGGATTTTCACTTAAATCTATTTAAATAACAATACTGTAGTTTTAACGAGTACCCAAATTTGCTGCTACAGAAAGCAAAGTGTGTATATAAAGTGTGTTTTTAAGGAAAATAATAATAGCTTAGAATGAAATAAATTAATTAGCAAAGTTTGATCAAAATACATCGATAAAAAAGCAAACGACAACAATTGACTTCTCTATAAGAATAACAATAACTTATGGGAATTTGAAATATTTTCCTTAACCAATAACCATATGAAATAACTTTATTTGTTATTTGTTTGTTTAAGCTCTTCAAAATGGATTAGAGAGAAATTGGAAAATTTTATATTTTGAGGGCCAAACATGAAAAAACCTAATTTTACCCCATGTAAATTCCGCTACCATGTTCTGATCATGCTGGTTCGCTAAAGAGTTTGAATAAACGTTTGTTTACACCTTTGTATTGAATTTCATTAAAATCTGATGATTTCTGTTTGTGTTATATGGTGCTTACGGACATAAATAAATAAATAAATATTATATATATAGCCTATTTATATATATATATGAATCTAAATAGGGGGGGGGGGGGTTTGGCCTCTGTGGCCTCTGGGAACATCAAAACGAGATGCAAATTGGTCCCGGGTCCAGGCTTACCAAGATATTCCCTATTAGGGAAATTCACTAAAACATGATGCTTGAATGGGAATAGGTCTTGTGTAGTTGCCTTTGTAAAGATAATTCAATAGGCGACATCTCTGAAAGTGTTAGGACATAGGTCATGACAGAAGTTCCTTTTCTAGCACCAGTTTATAGCCTTGTCCTGTTATCAGTAGGTCGTTGCGTTATATCTTATCTTAGGCGGCGTCTTGTCATCTTCATGGATTTCTGATTCATTCATTCACCCGTGACTCACTAAAACGTCGGTTGACCTTGGAGTATGATCACCGGGATGGTCCAGCTGTTGTTTAAGTTTACAAACGCTTTGATTGTTCTTGACAAACAAATAGGTTGGATAAGTAATGATTTTTTGTTTTGTCTGTAAGCAAAA